ATCTAACAACAAGTATGAACTCAAATACATAAAATAAAAGCACTCAAAGACACAAATACAAATCAGTTTTCGGAAATGACCTCAACATCTATTTTTGATGATTTTTAAAGTTTCAACTAGGAAATGGAGACATCAAAAGGACTAAACATGACTCTAGACATCATGAAATTATTTGAAACTTAAAATGACTCAAACAAACATATATTAACCAAAAAAAAGCAAGTAAAAACTCAAAAAAAAAGGCACAAAATAGTAGCCAAAACTACCAAAACAGAACTTGAAAAACGCTAATGACAACATTCTAGCAGCTCTAACCTTTGCTGAGTTTTTTACTCATAACATTCTCCACTGAACTCCAAATGAAATAATTTTTTTGTTGAAAATTAGACTCAAAGGGATTTCATTTGAATATTTTTACGTATTTTTTTGACAACTAAGATAGATGCAATTTTAAGTTTGAAAATCGTCACAATTTATTGCGAGAACATATGATAGATGAAAAAAAACACAACAAGACAAGTAAGGAAATAACATTAACAACACGAAACAATGAAGGATAGATATGGACCAAAAGACTTAGCTCTTGAAGAACCAAAGCTCTTGATACCAAATGATGGCAACCTCCTTGAGCTAGGTTGGGCCAAAGCTTAGAAGGAAGTAAGGAGATGGTCCCTATGATAGATATGGTTGTGGAAATGGGTGGGAAAGGGGTGATATGATGTGCAAATGATGGCGGTGTGGTGACTTGCATTTTCATTTTTCTCTTTTGTTTTTCTTACTTAAAAAAAACTACGAGATAATGTATGAACTTATATATTTAAGACTATTCTTTCTTTTTTCTTTTTTTAAATACAAAAAAAAATAAGAAGAGAGAGTGATAATTAAAAATAAAAAAAAGTTCAACAAAAATAAAATAAAATAAAAAATAGAAAATAAATAAACACGATAAAATAAAGTGAAATAAAGATAAAAAAATAAAGGAAAAGAAAAATAAAACAAAAACTTTTTTTCCTTAAAACTAATAAGTTTAGATCAAGTTTTCTTTTTTGCGTTTTTATTATTTTTTTCTTAATTCTATACTTCTTTATTTAGCAATCCGGACGAAATTGGGTATTGACAGATGTCATCTTCATGGATGACTTCCACTTTCTTGAACTTAACCATGGCTAGGGGATTTGCCATAAGGTGGTTTGTTGATGGAAGCACCTTCAGCATAAACTTGATTGTGTCCGACCATTTTGAAAAACTATCAAAGCAAGCTCGGATACCAATTGTTGGAATTGGTATCGCGCAACGAAATGTTTAAAAGCGTGATAACGGACAAAAACCAAGGGTGGAGGGGTGAATTTGTTCTATTAAAATTTTTTGTTCTCTTTTAGAAATTTCTTCAAACAGTTTATAATAAGGAAATGCAGAGATAAAGAAAGTCACACAGAGGATTTTAATACTGGTTCGATTAAAAAGATTCTACGTCTAGTTGTTAATCACTTTAGATTGAGTGATTAACTTTTCACTTAGAATCGGTTTAATGTTTACAAGATGAATAAAAAAATACACAGAAAAGAATACATCTTCCTTCGACACATGAGGGAATGATCACACTAAAACTTGCAGATAACCGCTTGCACCTTTAGACACACTAAAACCAAGCCTCTCCTTGCTCAAAACTTGATCAAGCTTAGACTTAAACTCAAGAACTTCCTCGGAACCAATTTTGTGCTCTCAATAGTTTAGGTAACCTTAGAAAGGTTTATGAGACTTCTATTTATAGGCTAGGGGTCAAAAAATGAAAAGTCAACTCCCAACCGCCAAAGATAATCAATCATCAAAAGTGATAATCGATTATTTCAGGCCGTTGTGGGTTTTGAAAAAATGTGATAATCGATTATCCTTAGAGATAATCAATTATTTCCGCGAGAAATTAATAAAAAAGAAAAAGTCACATAATTTCAAAGTGCTTATAATTGAAAGATAAACCTCATACAATTGTTTCTACAAACAAAAGATTATTTAATGGTGTATGTGAAAATTTCTTGAAATCTTCAAGTGCATCATCATTAAAATTGATTCGAAGCATTAATGCTCCCCATTGGCAACACATCTCGTGAAACTTAATCACTTCCATATCTGCGTGCCACCACCATCAACCATAGCCAGAAGGGTGCAAAGATGCAATCCACCAGATCCACTGCAAGGATTGTTATGTTGATGGTTTGTTTTATTTTTTATGATTATTACAAAAATAATTTCCTTGTGTTTTGGGCACCAGGTTTGGAAACAAAATCCGTAAAAAATCTAATAAGTCTTTGTATCCAAATAGCAAGCTAGAGAGTCTAAATGACAATTAATTTAGATTTACTCTGAAACAGATGATGAATATTTCATTTTTTTTATACCGGTTTGTACCTTTAATCGATATAAAAAGTGACAATTTACCTACTGTAAAATTGGTATTAAAGATGATATTTTCTAGCTGATATAAAAATGTTTTTGTTACTAGCGTTCTTATATAATAAAAAAACAAACTTTGCAACTGGGAAAAAATTTTCAAAAATTTGGAAATATGGTTTTGAGGTAACATTTTAATTCGAGGGTGAACACTTGAAACTGAAGTTAGGTATCTTTTTATCATACCGTACAAATATATGCTCTCTAAAGTGTAAAGCGATTCCTCATAAACGATAAGGAACTAATTCAGTGTTCAAAAGGTGCAAATTTTGAAAATCCATCTTTTTATATTCAGTATTAAATTAAATGTCTTTTTAATTTTATGATGTAATGTTAAATTCAACCAAAGTTTCTATTCCTAAAAAACTTATGTTGATCCGATTTAAATGTTCATAGAACCTTGTCATTATCTCAACATAGTCGTTTTCAGTTTTTTTTTTTTCTAAACATTTCCTTCATATTTGAAAAAGGAAAAAGATAAGCTAAGCGGATATTATTTTAATACTTAACAAATTTTTATACATTTATTATTTTATCTCTCAATTTTTTTTACAACACAAAAAATTCATTTTTTAAGGCTTAATACCATTGTTGGTTTCAATTTTTGCCAACTTTATTCGAAAGGGTCTTAATTTTCTTAAAATGTTCAATTTAGTCCTAAATATTGTAATTTATGTTCAATTTAGTCCTTTTTGACTAACGAAGCTTAAATCGTTAACGACACATCACTAATGAGTGGATTACATGGCAGTTATTGGCTGACGTGGCTAGGACCAGAGTTGACTAAGGATGGTCGTGCCAATGAGGGCTTGACATGTGGCAACCTCTTTCTTCACCCAAAAATTAGGGTTTCAAATTTGCATCTGCAGATTGGGGAAAATCTTGCTCCAGTGCCGTCACGTCAGAATAGGGTTTCGCATTCACGGCGGATATGGTGAACTTCGTGATAGTTGGTTTCCTTCTAGGTTTTCTCTTACAGGTGAATGAAGAAGGCGTGATGGAGAAGCTTGCGGAGAGGCGTTGGTGCGACAATTGAAGATAATTGTGTGATTCGGCTTTCCATTTCTACGATTTGGGTTTTGCTCGCGAGAGGTTACTGATGATGTTGGTGGCTCTTCACCATTGCGGCACGAATTGCACTTCTGGTTTGAAGGAGATTTTTGGTTCTATGAGTTTTGATCTTCTGTGTTTCAGGTTGATGGTGGCTGGTGGAGAATGAAGAAGCTTCACGACGACGTTGCTCAAAGGCACGAGGAACTCGCGATTCGGTTTCGCGATGCTTGTGGCAGAGCGTTTGGAACAGCGGTGCAACCATCTGGTTAGGGTTTCGAAATGTCTGATGATGGAGGTGCAAAGATGGTGGCTGGTTGTGAGCGTGACGACGACGATTAGGGTTAGGTGGTGGCTAGGATTTATGTGTAGGGGAAATTAGAGTTTCTGGAGGTAGGAGATGATGATGACGTGTCAAGGATGATGTATCACTGATTGCTCAGCTGGATATTTAGCCGTTAACGATTTAAACGTTGTTAACCAAAATGACTAAATTGAACATAAATTACGATGTCTAAGACTACATTGAACATTTTAAAAAAATTAGAACCATTTGAAACAAAACTAACAAAAATTGGAATTATTAAGGTTTTTAATCGTCCAAAAATTTATAAAAGTGGTTGTCAACATGTATAGATAGTGTAAAAAACATATTTTCGGAAACCACCTTTATTTCTCTGTTTATTTGACACTAAATTTTAATAATTAAAAAATATTATATTAATATAATAAAAATATATATAAATAAAATATTGTGATGAAATAAGTTTTAAAAGTGTAATGGAAGTAAGAGAAAATTTGAAATGTCAAATTATCACTCAGTAAAATATATCACCTTATTTTATCGGTCAAGTTTTGATGAAGGAAATTCTTACAACTCACTTTAAATACTTTTTTTTTTCTCCGTCATTTACTTACTTTTTGTCCTTTCAATAACAATATGATACTTAAGTTTTCAAAACGAAAAAATATTATACAAGTGTTATTAAACATTTTTTTATCAAATACTAATTACGTATTTTGTAAATTGAAATTTCAATATATCAATTTATATTTATTTTATATATCAATTTATGATTATTGAAGTTTTTGTTCATACGGAAATGGAAATATGACAATATTAGTCAAATAATTTTTTAATAAACACATTTTTTATTTAGATATTGAAACAATAGTGCATAAATAATTTTTAATATATAAAAAGTAACGTGATGATAATTTCAAAAACATAATAAGTTTTTGTATATTGCGATGAAAAATTTATAATAAATTTATAATAAATCATACTATTGTTTTATATTATTGAATCTAAACTAGATATAGAAAGTTATTTTTTATTCCTCTTTTGTTTTTAAGGCGGTGGTCCATTATTGAATAATAATTGTGGAATATGGAAAAGTAGTTTTGGTAGGAATTGACTAGCAGATGCCATTAAAATTGACAAATATCTCTAGAAAAGAGGGAGCATCCAATGTTATATAGATAGATGGACTCACAACCTATTGATGCATTAGAAGAAATGGAGGGCAGAGAGAAGAGGCTTCCTCTGAATAGCCTCCATGTCCAAAAGCTGCTACTTATCGTTAATAGGTTACACGTGTTACTACACTCCACAGCTTTAGCCTTCATGTTCTATTACAGAGTCTGTTTTCTATTCCAACCCACAGAAACAAGAGAAGGCCATGAGTTGTTACCATGGCTACTTGTTTCTGCTTCAGAAGCCATTCTCTCTTTCCTTTGGGTCCTTGACCAAGCCTTTCGCTGGCGTCCAGTTTCACGATCTGTCTTCCCAGAAAGATTGCCGGAGGATCACAAACTTTCTCCTATTGATGTGTTCATATGCACTGCAGATCCAACTAAGGAACCCACTTTGGATGTCATGAATACTGTATTGTCGTCTATGGCACTGGATTACCCTCCAAACAAACTGCATGTGTATCTTTCAGATGATGCGGGCTCGCCTTTGACACTGCATGGTATGAGGGAGGCTTGCAAATTTGCTAGGTGGTGGCTTCCTTTTTGTAGAAGGTACAAAATAAACAACAGGTGCCCCAAGGCTTACTTTTCCGCCTTGGAGGATAATGCTCATGCTGATTTTGCAAGGAGTAGTTTGTACGTGGCAGATAAGCATACGATTAAGGTTGACTTTCAGGGAACTTGCTTTTATTCATCTTTTTGGATTTTAAAAAACAAAAATCCTTGCCGGCATATCTGATTCTGTTTTCTGTACACCTAACCATCAAAATAATATTTATAATGCATCACTTTGTGATTTGTAAATAATTTACAGGAAAAGTACGAGGCTTTTGAAGAAGCGATAAAGACGTTTAGAAAAGATAGTGCTTCCTCCCGAGATCACCCATCTCTCATTGAGGTATACTAGCGTTTGCATTGGTTTTCTCATTTAGATATTTAGAAAAAAAGATATAGTTGCATGCAAAGACTATTAAGAGAGTTAATATATATATATATATATATATATATATATATATATATATATATATATATATATATATATATATATATATTAGTTGATAAAAAAATTTCTATTCATAAAAAAAAACATACTTTATACGTGCACGACTTCTGTATAAAGAAAAAGGCAAACCAAATTATCATTCACGACTTCGTGTGACAGAATTAAACTGTATTATGTAAATTCTTTCCCAATACGAAATCGTGAATCCCAAACGTCATTATTGTATATCTTTCTCCAAATTTGTCAATTATTGCATTTTTTTTTCAAAATTATACCAAAATGATAGAAAACTTCTCCTATAAACGAGTCATCTCATCCCTCTAACTTTATCATTTAACGTTCATCAGACACACGTTATGTTTCTCTAACTTTTTTCACGGACAATAATTAAACATGGCAATCAATTTAGTTTAGATTGAACTTCTAAATAAATTCTTATGAGAGAAAAGCGTAGCATATGAAGCTAAAATAATTTAAATTTCTCAAAAATTAACTTGGACATTTCGTTTTTATAGAAAATTTTCATTAAACTTTTCCAAACCAACTTGCATAGGTTGATTTTAATTTATAAAACAAGTTTGACTTATTTTTGCCTTCTGTTGTTCGGATATTATAGTAGCATGTATTTATTAAGATATGTATCTTTACTACCGTGATGTGAAACATGTTATGTTTGGAAATTCGTTTATGAATCTGATTTTTGCAGGTGATTCAAGAAAGTACGATAGATGATGTAGACAATGTGAAAATGCCTCTCCTTGTCTATGTTTCTCGTGAAAAAATGGCTTCTCATCCCCACCATTTCAAGGCTGGCGCCCTCAATGTCCTCGTATGAATATACTTTTTTCTTGTATATATCTGCCAAACTGTGAAAACTTGTTTTACCAACACAACAAATATAATGTTTTCCCATCTCATTAATCTTGCAGCTGCGTGTCTCTTGGGTGATGAGTAATTCGCCATACATTCTAGTTCTAGATTGTGACATGTTCTGCAATGATCCAACTTCAGCTCGATATGCCATGTGTTTTCACCTTGATCCAAAGATATCATCTTCCTTGTCTTTTGTTCAATTTCCTCAGAAATTTCACAACATTAGCAAGAATGACATCTATGATAGTCAGCTGAGATCACTATTTACCGTAAGGACTGAGGAGATCTAAATCAGACACCTTTGTAATTCTTTAATGTTGTATATATAAAATGAAAAATGTTTTTTTAACGACTTTTTCTGGACAACATTTTTACATCATGTCGTAACCTGTGATTAGTTCGTTTCAATAGTCTATTATTGTTAAAAAAGTTAACATATGATAATCTTGAGTGGAGTGCTTGACTAACTTTTTTTTGGACAATTCAGGTACAATGGCAAGGTATGGATGGGCTTATGGGACCTGTTATGTCAGGTACAGGCTTTTACATAAAAAGGGCATCACTGTTTGGAAACTGCGATAGCAAAGGTATCAAACAACATTTTCTTATTTAGTTGCTTCCTAAAACACAAAATTTCAATGAAATTAACATATAAACGTTGCCCTTGTGATGACAGGCTAACACACTCTTTACTATTCTTTGTTTTGAATCCTAGGAAGTGATCTGCTGCAGCAAAAGGATGAATTCGGTTCATCTAATGAATTCGGTTCATCACTTGATCGAGACTACACAAGTGAATCGGTATCTGATCAGAAACATACATTGCTAGAAGAATCTCACCTTTTGGCTTCTTGTAACTATGAAATTGGTACTAAATGGGGAGAAGAGGTAGGTAGACCTTTTAATTATTTTCTTTTCTTCTGTCATTACTTCAAAATTCTTGTAGTAAAAATTTGCAAAATATTTGGACGATTGCAGGTTGGTTTCTTATATTATAGCGTAGTAGAAGATTATCTTACAGGATTTATGTTGCATTGTAATGGATGGAGTTCAGTTTTCTGTGAACCATCGAGGCCACAGTTCCTGGGTAAAGCTACAACGAATTTGAATGATGTACTAATCCAAGGCACTAGATGGCACAGTGGTTTGTTTGAAAATGGTATAAATAGATTTTGCCCCCTTATGTATTGGCCTACAAGGTTGCCATTTCTCCAGTGTCTATGTTTTGCATGGCTCACATATTTCCCTCTTTATTGCGTGCCTCTTTGCTGTCTTGCTACGGTCCCTCAGCTCAGTCTACTAAATGGAATACCTTTATATCCTAAGGTAACAACAATGCTTATAAGTCTCACATTCGTGCATACATTTTCTTCATATGCTAAAACCCTTTTTTTCTTTTTCTTTTTCTTCTTCTTCTTCACAGGTTTCAGACCCTTTTTTCATCGTCTTTGTGTTCATCTTCCTGTCAGCTCTTGTAAAACATTTACTAGAAGTCTCTTTAACTGGTGGTACACTCCATAAGTGGATCAATGAACAGAGGATCTGGATGATGAAATCTGTCACTTGCAATCTACATGGATGTTTGGATGCACTGCTAAAGAAATTTGGTATAAGAGAAGCTACTTTCGTGCCCACTAATAAATTAGAAGATGATGAACAAACTCTGTTATATCAAATGGATAAATATGATTTCCGAGCATCAAATATCTTTATAGCACCTATGCTTTTTCTCATCACTGTCAACATATATTGCTTAGTGGGAGGAGTCTACAGAGTGTTCTTGGTCGGTGACTGGGACAAATTGTTTATACAGCTTTTCCTTGCAGTTTTTATAGTTACTGTCAACTATCCCCTCGTTGAAGGGCTCTTATTACGGAAGGACAAGGGACGCATTTCAAAGTTGGTAGCTATACCTGTTATATTGCCTACTCTTGCTCTTTTGGCGTTTTTTAACCTACTAGGAAATGCATAATATGCTCTGCTGGCTATAAGCATTCCATTTTTAATGTTAGTTTAATATCTGTGTACAATTTTCAATAAGTTAAAAGATAACAATATTGTCGTTGTAAATTATTTTCTCTTCACCTTGGATCTTCCTGTCCTCAACATCATTGCAAATGTACAAGAGAATGGAAATGGTGCATCTGCATAACATTGAAATGTCATGGGACTAATCTTTATTAATATTAGTTTTAAAAACATATTTGCTTACATTTTTAGAACAGGAACTTATTGTTATATTATAATTTTTAAATAAGCATTTATTTTTATTACACTTTATTTATTGTATTTTTTATTTGTAATTTGTCGTGTATTATAAAATAAAAAATTAGACTAAATGTGGCTTGAAGACTCAATAAAAATTCAATCAAAAACCATGTATAAGAAAAAAAAAGTACATGGTAAGGAAACATAATGTCTCAAGAAGCATGTCTTTAAAAGAGTACGAAAAGTGTTTATTAAGTGTGAAACTAGACACAGCATTTTTTCCAATCTAGGTCATCATTAGATTTTAGCATTTTAATTTTAATTTTCAATTTCATTTGATTTTTTTACCTTAATAATTATAATAGTATTCCTTTTTTGTTAATGGCTTTTAAATATAAGAGAATTCGAGGAAGTTTTGGAATATTATTTTTTGAAAAAGTCATTTTTCTTATTTTAATAAACGAAATCTGTAGTCAAGAGTACACTTTAGTAGTGCAGTAGTTGATCAGCAGTGAAAACTAAATCTGTTTTTCAAGAAACCTTCAAGATTATCAACTTATGTATATCTTGTTTCTTGGAGTGTCTCAGCACACGTGTAATTATTTTCTCAATTCATAAATATTAGATATGAAAGTTTAGAATGATCAAAAGTCTTAATGTAATCGATTGCTAATAAATGTTAATCAAAATATTTGAAAAATATGACTATTATCACTGTTATGACTTAGCTTGAAAATAGTTTTCAAATAATAACAAACTTAATTGATTAGAATAATCTTGATAAAGTAACTCTACTACATTTATGAATGAATTTACATGAGGTAAGCTCCTCTATTTATAGAAGTAAAGGAGCAAATGGTCTCCAAAAAAGAGAGAAAAACCTAGTCTAGAAATTGAAATTGGAGTAAAAAAGAAAGCATACAACAAGTGTGTCATGCCACATAAGCAAGTCACACCTCTCATGCCATGAGGAAATAAGACATATTTGTCACTATCCTAACTTTCTATACCAGTTCTAGTTCCAATCGGTATATAAAGTCTTAAAATATTTATAGTTATGTCACCGCACCACTTTTTATATCGAGTGAATTATAATCGATTTAAAAAGTCGGTATAAAAAGTTATTTAAACCTTCACAAAAATATTTAAACCTTCCTAAAAATGTTATTGTATCCCTTTCGTTGCCGACTTGGAACATACATGTTTATATAAATATCTTTTGTCCAACAAGACTTCATTGAAGACCTAAATTAGATACATTAATTATAGGAAGCTCAGACAACACAAATAGAAAACTACAAATTTGGCTACTAGTTACTAATTATCCTAGTTATTTTCTTTATGATCTAAACTATTGTGTACCATCAAATTTAGAAGTTATAGGCAAACATGTAGTGAATAGTCATATGTTTGGACATCTCTACTCTTAGAAGTTGTACCAAACCTTGTTCGTTCCATATTACATGCCCTAAATCTAAGGAAAACCAAAAAGCCAATGCCTGGAATCTCTTCACAAGTACGCACTAAGAATTTACAACTACTTGTTAGAGTGTAGTCCAAGGTCTACTACAAAAAAAAAATCATTTTTGAGAGATTTATCTCACAAGAAGATGCATTTGATGCATGGATTAAAATGTTATGCATATATAATAACCAAGCTTCCCCATCCTTTGATACAACTATCCCAGCTCATTATACAAAATCTGCAATCTCCCTCATCCCTACTGCTCACTTTCTTGTAAATGATTTGACAACCATTTTTCTTAAGGAAAAAATCTTTGGTGTTATCTCTTTTGCAAAGATTACTAAAGGGAATGAGAGGATACTCCAAAATTAAAAGGAATATCTATAAATGATGAATTAATATTTTCTACTATTCACTTAGCTTATTATACTACATTTGATTAGGGATTGTGCTTAATTGTCCAATATTTCCTCAATTTTGATATTTGGGATTAACTTGACCAATAACTCTTATTTTAATTAATTTGAATTATTTGAGGCTAATTATTTTCATTATTAATTGTAGGAAAATTTTTGGATTATTATTTTGGGACATTAAAGGGCTGTCATATCATTCTCCACTTGCCACATCAGCATATTTAATTTAATTTCAATTGTAATTTCGTTTTTAAGTCTTTTTGGACATATTTAGCACATTGGCCCGTTTTTGGTCATTTTTAGGATTAGGCCAAGTTTGTATTATGACCTAGGGTTGCATGCAAAACGGCGGCAGACCCCAAACACAACCTCTCACTCTCTCATTTACGTTTTCTAAGCTTTGGACAACAAGGGAGAGCTCCCCCCAATTTGGGGTTTCTGGTTTTTCATTTATATTTGATCCACTTTCAATTCTAGTAATGCAATTTCCCTTTCTTCTCTTAGCAATTTTGATTCTGCACTTTAAATTTCATTCTCATTCTCGCATTGCAATTCGTTTTGAGTTCTTTGATTTGTGTTTTTCTACTTTCGTTTGTTGCATTGTGTTTTTCAGTCCCATTACGTTTTGCATTTTGTTCTCCAATTGTTATACTAATTTTGTTTTCCTTTTGCTGCATTGAATTTAGTTTTATGGAAGCTTAAATCCGTTTGGGTTGGTGATTAGTGAGCTACAATGTTTCCATGAGGTTTTTAGAGCTTAATTATTATTCTGTTTTGTGTGCCATGCATATATGCAATATGTTCTGTGCAATTGGTCCTCACTTAGTAGTATAATTTAAGCATGATAATCTTTGCTTAGTTGATTACTGTGTGTGCAGAATTGATGAATTTGTGTGAATGCGTTTGCTTAATTAGCATTTTATGAAGTCCCCTTTATACTTCGCTTAGTTGTCTAGTTCATGTTGGATTAAGGGTCATAAGATTGAATATCTGATATAAATATGTGATTGGAAACAAGTGCAATTGAGCTAACAACAACTTGTCTTTAACTTGTGTTTCAATTTGTGTTTAAATTGTGTGTTAATTAGTTCATTTCATTTCACAAAACCACCATCAAAACCCCCTACCATGTATTCGATCTAATTCCTGAACCACATTTGGTCCTTGAGAGACGACCTAGGGGTTATTCTCTAAGTTATACTACATTTCTAATTGCTCATTAATTTGATTTGCGTATGATCGCGATCAAATTTAGCGCTATTGTTGATAACGGTTGAAAAACTGTTATTTTTATACTTAATTTTGATATTAAAAACACTCTTAATGACTTAGAAACTAACTTGAAATCATGTTTTTAACTTAAGTTGTGTGAATAAGAGAGTTGAAGGTAGTATTATTGGTTTTATGCTTGTTTTTCCTTGTTGTGACAAGAATTAAGATGAATTGGATGAAGGAGTTGAAGTAGCAAGGAGCTGGAGCCATGAAAGGCTGGAAAAGTGGCACATAGAAGAATCGCAGATAGCGCTGAGCGCCAATCTGGAAGTGCAACCACTGTTTCACGCCTGGGCGCCACCACTGAGTGCCAATTTGGTTTTGAAAGCACTGTTTCACATTTGGGCGCCGCCGTTGAGCGTCATTTGAGTGCCGCAGCTACCGTTGAGCGCCATAAGTGGGGCGTTGAGCGCCAGTCTTGTGGGCTTGGACTTTTTCTACACTCTATTTAAGGTTTTGGATGACTTAGGGTTCAAATCTTTGGATAAAAGGAGGCGTAAAAACACTCTTTTCACCCCTTGGAGGCGGAAGCTCCGATCTTCAACTTTTAGGGTTTTATCTTTCATTCTTTTCCATATTTTCATCTAGATTCACCATGTCTATCAAGAACTAAACCTCCATTGTTGTTGGGAAAACGATGTAATCCTTTGAAACTCTCATGTATTGAATTGATTTATATTATAAATGTTTTACTTCATTAATTGTTAGAGTTTTTCATCTACACTCTATGCATGCTTTGTTTAACTTATTCAATTGCATGATTATTGATTTTGTTAATATGGATATATATGGGAAAATCTAGAACTGGGGAAATTCTCCCAAAAGCAATATTACCTAGACATAGGGATAGGAGGGTTGGTTTCCTTTAAGCTTCTGTGCAAATGTAATGCATAATTAATTGTTGGGGATACAAGACATTGTGAACTAGTAATTAAGAGTAGGCTTTCTTCACCGAGACATCGAGTTTAAGGTAAATTAGAAAGTGACATTAACATTAATGAAGAAGATGAATTCATAAATACATGAGAGTGGATAGGATAAGTCGGAAACCCCAACAACATAATCATTCCATATTTTATACACCAATCACCTGTGCATTCTTCAACTCAATTGATCAACACTTGCATTCATATTTATTTTCTACATTATAAATACCATGATTTTATTTACAAGTCTTAATTAATCAAGAAACCACATGAATGTCTAGGCCGTGAGTCTCTAGGGAAACGATACTTAGTCTTACCATTTATTATTACTTGATTCGAATCGGTACACTTGCCGGAGTGTTAACAATTGTCGAGGACCAACGGTTCAATTTTGGCTTTGTGTTAGTGTGTGTTCTGTGTTTGTTTTGTGAGTTGTGCTGCTGGCACTGAGCGACACTTGTGTAGTTTGTGAATAGTGTCAGCTCTTGTCTAATTAATAGGCATTTTTGGTTTTGATAGCTAGGGGTCTTATTTTTTTATTGAAATTTGGTGTGCTCACTTCATTTACTCAATATTTTGATAGAAAAATCCCAAAAACACCACTGGTAGTCCAGATTCTGTTTTGTTAAAAATGGGTGAGCCTGAACTTTGCGACAACATAACTTTTGTTCACGATGTCGAAATTGGACATATCATATGTTCTTTTTGGCTAAAAAAATGAGTTATTGATTGCTTGTCGCTTTAGCCACGAGCCCATGCCTCTAATTCCAAATAGAAGTCGTTTTCTATTTCTTTTTTATTTTTGAAGTTTTATTTCCACCATTTTCATACTTTTTTGTGTCAGTGAACATAGCTATACTCCGAGTTTTGTTTTGAA